TATATATATATATATATATATATATATATATATATTAAGTTGAGTTTATTTTCTTTAGTGCCGTGGAAATCGTGGTGAAACCTGATTTTGAAGTTGAGAAATATTATTTTACTTCTCTGTGGAGCGGCGTATTATCTGGTTCAGCTGATTGTGGCACCAACAGACTGCTACCTGTTGCAATATTGATAAAGGTTGTCTTTGCTGTGTAGGTGTGTGGGGCAGTGTCACGTCGGGCTGCGCAGCTGTGCGGAGCAGGACTGGCAGCTGTTGTCGATAAGATCAGAGAAAACCAAAATCTGGACCACCTGAGCATCACTGTGGGGGTAGACGGGGCTCTCTATAAACTTCACCCACAGTGAGTAACTTTTCACCCACATCCTGTATATTCTGAGTCATCCTACTGATGAATTAAATCTTAAAATTTGCTGCCGCTTCTAGTTTTTCTGAAGTCTTAAAAAAGACGGTGAAAGAGCTGGCTCCTCAGTGTGACGTGACCTTCCTGCCATCAGAGGAAGGAAGTGGGAAAGGTGCCGCTCTCATTGCAGCTGTGGCCCGACGAACGCAGGAGATGTGACTTCTAGAGGAAAACGCTACACATGTACCATGTTTTTATTCTTTGTATTCTTTTACTTATCTCACCAGTTGTACTGACCTCCACCTGTGCACTGAATTTCTGGTTGCAGGGGGCTTCCAGTAAGAACACCTTAGACCCAAAAGATTTTTACTTTTTTTTTTTTTTTTTTTTTTAAGTCATGTTCTGTATTTACTTACAGAGTTTGGATAAACTATTGTTTCCCCCCAGGCTTGTTCCTAAATATTTGTTTCTTTTTTCTTTTACCATGAGCTTTTTGTAATAAACTAACATTTTGACGTTAATGTAAACTACTGGCCTGTGATTATTTTGGCTCTTGGTTTTTGGCTTAGTTGTCGAACTGAAGTGTGCCGCTCTCTAATCTTTAGAAAGGTGTGGGAACTGTTTCAAAGCGACAGCTGCATGGTCATATGGGCCTGTGTTAGCCGTGCACTGATTAGTCTGGGATTTTTCCGATATCAGAGTGGAGAGCTTGCTTTTGAAAAGCAAAGAAGACAAAAATTCACGCCCTGCAGACTGTTCAAGATAAGAACTTCCTTTGAGACCAAATAGTTGTATCTTGAGTTTCAACAGCAGTCACTGCATCAACTGCAGTGTAAAACTGTTAACAAGCTGAATTTGTGGAAAATGTTATCGCACTGTGAATAATCTGTTCTCAGGCTTGTTCATCCAAAATCTGACTTTTTGTGTTGCTTTTTCCTAACTCTGCACGTGTTGCACTGTAGAGTTCTTGTTTTTTTTACGGCTTTAAGCATAATATATTTAGCAGGAATGACCTTTAAACTGACTAATACACCAGACCACACGACTTTAAAGGAACTTGTAAGGGTCAAGTTTTGGTTTTGGGTTTATATTTTAGTTAAGAATAAAGCAATAGCCTGAGGAAAGATACTTAATCGTGACTATTACTTGCATTGTAAGGATCAAAAAACGTTTTTATAACCAAAATGTAAGTTCATGCACTTACCTAAAGAGGGATTTGGACTGTGGTTTTCTCTGGTGTTATCAATAATGACGATCTTACTGATTTATTTGGAACATCAAATCTCAGGAGAAAGAAGCTCACAGTTAAATTAAGTGGGACTAAGACCAAAGCAGAATCATAAACAACAAAGATCTATAAAGTTTAATAGAGGTTCATGCAAACCTCATTTTCTAACTTTCTGATGTTGTACCACTTTCACGTTGGATGGTTATTTACATTTAGATACAGGATTATTTCCACTGAAGACCATGTTGATCTGCAGTCCATTACCAGCCATGTTCCACGTGAAACAAACTGCAAAACGAAACATGTTAAGAACACCCGGGACAATCTGATGGAAGAGCATCTGGGCTATTCAACTAGCAGCCTGGGGGCCAAATCAGGCCCACCGGTCTGCTCAGTGCGGGCCACCAATGAGTTAATCTTTAAACAAAACTAGATTTTTAATCGTTTAACAACCTTACTTATTGAGAATAACTGCTGGATGTCCAGCCCCTGAGCTCGTGGCTTTCAGTAACTGCCTCCCCCCCACAAGATCTACACCATCTGATGGAAATCACCCACTGTATTAAATTTACTTCCAAATGTTTCTCTGCCTGCTCAACACATTTTGATTGGCAGCACATTTTATTTTTTAATAATTACCAGTAATAAATAACACATTAAGTTGTTCAGTGTAAAAGTAGCTTCTTTGTGAAAAATAAATCCTCCAAAGCCAGGTCACAGAAAGGCAAAGGTATATAAAAAATAAAAGTTGAATAACCCACTAAGATGGCACAATGGCTCAGTTGGTAGAGTTGTTGCCTCTCAGCAAGAAGTTTGCCGGTTCAAATCCTGGCCTAGGACCTGTCTGGGTGGAGTTTGCATGTTCTCTCCATGCATGCATGGGTTTTCTCCAAGTACACTGGTTTCCTCCTACAGACCAAAAACATGCATTTTAGACTGATTGGTAACTCTAAATTGTCACTAGGTGTGAGTGAGAGGACTTGGACCTGTCCAGGGTGTCCGCCACCTCTCACACAGTGATGGCTGGTCATGGACACCAGTGACCTCAGCGACTCAAAAAGGCAAAAGTGGGTAAAAGATAATTGATGGAATAACCCACTATAAACTTTGAAACTGGAGGGGATTTTAGATCAATTTAATATCACATTATTTGACTTCATCGTTCAAACTGATCAATTTCTACTGCAGGTAAGTTACTGATTACTGATGCCACTCCACACAGCAGAACCTCCACAAATCAGAACTAGCAAGGGTCTTAATGATGACACTGCATTTTAACATTCTGAATTGCTTTGGAATTGTTTGGTTAGGTTACCAGTAATTTTATATGCACCTACTAAATTTGTTCTGCTTCAAGACACTTTGCATGCAGTTCAGTAAACGATCTCAAAACAAATGTAACATAATGTAGCAAAATGTGAATATAATAGAGGATTTGAGAGGAACACAATGAAACTAGAAATGGAGCATAATTTTCACAATGTCATCTAAAACCATAATTATGTAATGGGCGGTTGTGTGTGTATGTGCGTGTGTGTGTGTATGGGTGTCCGCTGTGTCAGCCCTGATAAGGAACAGGAGGAGGAATGGAATCCTGCTGATCATATTTTCCAAAACAACAAACACTCTGTTCAGTCATTCGTGGCTGAACTTCCATCCTTATGATTGCATTGAAGACAGAAAACTGAAAATAATAATAATAATCTGATGAAAAACTTGCAACTTTAAATATTTATTGCTACAAGTTGCTACAAGTCAAATCAACACATGTTTTATTGTATTGCTTGAATATATTTTTATGTATTTTTTAAGAGTGGTGGGGGTGGGTTAATTTTGCATTTGTGCTAACAAGTCTCCCAATAATCTGGAAGTACTGATCTGGCAATGCTGAAATAAGGTTTAAGCAATTCAATAATCCCCTCCTGACAGATTAGATGTTACAATGAAGGTTATGACTATAAGCAATAACCAGACTTAAAATTAATCTGAACTAAATTATTACACATCTAAACGTTAAGGCAGAATAAAACGGTGAAGAAAAGAGATTAATTTAAAAAAATAATAAAATACTGATCTGTCAGAGATTACCATGTTGGGATGCTACCAGCTGAGGGCATCACACACACACACACACACACACACTGACTGAGCACATGGTAATCCCACACAGCCCTGACCTCATCTCACTGTGACAGTGCAGATATGCAGCTCAGCCTGTAAACACAGCAAAATCCTTGAAACTGGAGTTCCTGCAGCCTACAGACAGAGAGGCGAGCAAAATGTATTTTACTTGGGTGTTTTGTCACTTATTCCTTGTTCCCAACCCCAACTATTTTTTCTTTAAGTCGTAAGATTTATTCTATTTGAGCAGCCCCTGATATCGTTCAGATTTTCCTGGAGAAGCATTCCTCAGAGAGCAAGGTGTCTGAATCCCTTTGTTTATGCTCCTTTTTGTACGTGTCTCCTCTACAAAACAATAAAAGCATTGACACAGTCTCTCTTGCACACGCACATGCACACACAAACAGAAATTGGTCAGCAGTTGATGAGCCGAGCTGAACTGCTCCTTGGGACATATGATGAGGCGTTCACTGGATTTACTGGTATACAGTACATACAGTACTGTTAGTCAGGTAACAAGTTTTATTTTTCATTTCAGTAACTGATGGACTGTAGCTCTGCTGGTTGATGGAAAACATGTCAGTGGAGGTAAATGAATGATTCCAGGGAAAGAAAGTTTGATGAACAAAAAAATCATAATGTAATAGGATGGTGGAGATATTTAAACGCTTGTTGGAAATGCTGTCATTAAATTTAAAATATCTCTGACCAGTATCCAATTGTGTTGGTGGCTGTCTGTCTTCAATGTTTACGGATTCTAGCTGCTAAATCTGTGCTACAATATACTTATCAGACCAAAGTTTTTATTTGATTATAGTTTTATTCTGCTGCTCAATAAATGGAGAGCAGTGAGTTTTAAAACAAATTTAAAACCAGTTTGTTCAGAGGTTACCCGTCTATTTTTCCACAAATCAAGAGTCTTCTTACAACAGAAGCATCAAATTAAAACACCCAGTAAACTTTTATTGAGACAGTTACAGGCCAGAATAAAGTACAGTACTGTAGTATCTTATCTCCTGTTCAGTTTGTGTAAAAACAGGTTTAATCTCTAGTACAGAAATAAAAAAAAACCCTGAGACTCAAGTTTAAAAACCTGAAAACCTACATTTTATTTCTGTACAAATCACTGGACTTTTGAGGAGTGAGTCTAACGTTAGTAACTCCCCAATTATTAAAGATGAGCAAAAATGTGCCATTAAGAATTATTAACGCCAAAACACAATTAATAACTAAAAAAAAAATGGCCAAAAAAGCAATTCTGTTCTGGAGTTGCGCCGCTCTGGGTGCATGTTGGAGCAGCTCTGTTACTTTCATTTTGACTTATTGCTTTTGAAAACTTTAATTCCTCTTTTTATGGATGTAAATCGCTTTTTCCGGATGATTATTTACTCTGGTATCAGATGCTGTGCGGCTGGAAGGATTTTTACTGGAACTTTTTTTTACTTTGGGGCATTTGTTATGATGCGTAACCATGGCAACAAGGTGTTTTGTTTTAACAACAGGAGCAGCTGATTACCATCTCAGAAGCTCAAATGCCTCCCAAATCTCAAATGAGTTGAAAAGAAGACGCCGTGGATGGATTCCCATAAACTTGGCGGCGGTGCTCGAGTACCTGACCGCCAAGATCCTGGAGCTGGTGGGAAACTCGGCTCGTGACAATGGGAGGACCAGGATCATCCCCCGGCACCTTCAGCTGTCTGTCCATGGCGAAGAGGAGCTCGGTAGACTGCTGGGAGGAGTGACCACCGCTCAGGGAGAAATTCTGCCTGGTATTCGGGTAGTCCTGCTGCCCAGGAGTACCGAGGGGCCCGCCGGATCTAACAGCAATCTGGATCTGGGTGGACGGATCAGTATCTGTGGCCATTTCTTT